TGCAAATGCAATGTTTCAAAAAGACCATTTCCATTTTAATTCACATAACATACCATATTAAATCCATATGACCAGTTCTCACTGAAGGCCAGGGTTCCTGTTTTCATGGAGAGGCTCAGGCTGAGAAGACCATGTGACAGGAAAATAAGAGTTTGCTCACTAGCCCTGACTAATTCATCACATTGTAGAAGTCGATGGCATCAGAGCTAAACAAGTTCCACTTATGTGAAACACTAGAAAAGAAATTCCACTGATAATATCTGGCCTCTCTTGAATGCAGTTTGGGAAGGGCTGCAGACCAGGGCGTGGGCTGTAGAGGCAGATCTCAGGGTACAGAGCAGCAGATACAAACCCACATCCCGCTTTGAGTGTATTTATTTGCCAAAGGAGGTGCTAAAGTCAACCTGCTGGAAACACTTGCCTTCTGCAGGCCTGCCGAAGCCTGGAGTTGATGCACATTATGCTGGCTCTGCCAGACCTCATAGCAATTCATTCCAGTTTCTGGGAGGTAAATGTGGGCTGGCATCAGCTTCAGGATCCCACGGCCAGCAGCGCCCAATCCCCCCCCTCCTCCCTGAGGATGAGCCCTGGTTCCCTCTCACAAGAAACACGATGAAGCTGAGTCTGGTGCCACAAGGAGAACACACACATGAGGATAAATAAAAACAGGCCAAGTTAAGGACAAAGCTGCCACGAAAACAAACTGCATTTCTCCATTTCAGCAGGAGCAGGATGTAAAGCTCAGCTGCTCTGTAAAACCCACCAGACCTGAACATCTCCCCTCAAAAGTGAGAGGGATCTCACCCACTCACCCATATTCACACTACACATTGATGATTAATAATGACAGGCAGTGACACAAAGCAATTTGTTTATTCAGATCAACCTTTTAATCCCATCTGACCTTCAAAATAAATTACCAAATAAACTCTTCCATGAACTATGCTCTAAATCATAAGGTGGTCACAGGACAAAAACTTTCCACCAAAGAAAAAAAAAAAAATCAAACTTTTTTTTAGAACTTGTTTTGGTTTCACCTATTTGTTTCTTTCCAAAACGTTAGGATTCTGCAAAATTTTAATCTGACACAAAAATCACAATGCAGTAAACAGCATATTCTTTGCTCAATCACACATCAGTTAAACGATCATAAAGCAATACCAATACTTTAACAAGGGAATTGCTTCTACAAAATAAAAACATTCCTGGAAAACAGTTTTAGTTGGTTTTGATGTGTTGTACCAGCCTATTTTACTGGGGTAAGTGGATTTAAAAAAAACATAAAATAAGAAAACCTGACACAGCATTTTGCAGCAGGTTATCTCAAAGCTTTTAGAAGTTTTTAGAAATTAATTCTCAAAACATCCCTGTAAGCCAAGGACTTTACAAGCAGAGAAACTCAAATCAACAGGCTAAGTCACATGTAAAGATCATATAAGGGCTCTGTCTTGACTCTTGTGATGAACATTTCATCACAATATTTTGTAGAGAATGATTTATTATGACTATGATAATTACTGTTCAGGTTTCATATTAGTGTTACTCTGCTGGAAAGAAAACCCTTCATAAGATGGGATTTTCTGAGAACAGTCTGATCCATTACAAACTTTTTTCATATTTAACCCATAACTGTGAGCTTTAAAATACTAAACCTGCATGACTCCTCAGATATTTTGATACCAAAATGGAAGTGCTGCATCATGCTAAAACTGCAAAGTAATGCTCATGTAGCAGTGAGCACCAGCTGCATCATTAGAGAAGCACAGCTCCACCGATCACAGGGCCTATGTCCCTTCTTTTACTCTAGGTTGGGTTTCCCCCCTCTCCCTGCCTTTTGTTTTGCTTTTACTTGGCTTTAGATCGCGGCATAGCCAGTTGCCAGTGTTTCCCAAACACCTATTCCCAAGGGACTTGTCTGGCCCTCATTACCAGCAGGTGCCACATTGAAGGGTGTGAAATACCCTTGCTGCCAAGCTCAGGCTGCAGTCCCTGCTCCAGGGATTGCCAGAGAAAGCCCTGCTTCCCCTTCTCCCTGCTGGGGCAGAAGTCAGCACCAGCACCTTGAGCAACCCCATGGCCATAGTTTTCTACTTGCACCGTCCCTCTTCATTGCCAAGAGATGAAAAGCTTCCCCTGGCAGCTGCCCACAGCACCAGGCTACTGGGCAACTGGTCTAACGCTTTACAAGCTGCTTCCTGTCCCTCTAATCACGAGATTATTGATTAATAATTGTATATTTCTGTAAAAGAGCAAAAATGCCTCTCTGTGTGAAAAAGTTTAAATATATAAAAACACTTCATAAAAATACTTATTAAAAAAATCAAAATGCCCCATGAGCCTGTAAACGTTGCCTGTAAAATCTCTCTTAACTGGAATAATTTGATATACAGTCATTCAGGCTCTTTTCTGCCCTGTCCAGTAAGATTTTAAGATAACCACTAGAAATGCCACTTGTCTTCTACTTCAAACCTCGTCCCACTCGTTCTTCTTCTTCTTTGTTTGTTTCCAATATGACAGTTCAATTTCCCAATGTCAGCAATTTTCTTTGGAGGCATCATTTGTCTTTGCTTTTAACAGAGTTCTGCATGGCCTGATTCTGAGGCTTTCTTATGGAGTGGGCTTCAGGTCTGATCCGTAACACGAGCAATGCCAGGATGCTTAGAATATGCATGTGAAAATACATAGACCTGGAAACAAAAGCAGAAAGAGAATATTATATTTTTGTTGGTAATAACATGAATTGTGCAACCTCAGTAAGTCCATGCAGAATTTAGTGCTAAGCTGCCCTGGTTTCAGTTGGGACAGAGTTAATTTTCTTTAGCTGGTACAGTGCTGTGTTTTGGATTTAGTATGAGAATAATGTTGATAACACACTGATGTTTTACTAGTTGCTAAGTAGTACTTATCCTAAGTTAAGGACTTTTTGGTTTCCCATGCTCTGCCAGTGAGGAGGGGCACAAGAAGCTGAGGCGGAAGATGGCCAGATCAGCTGACCCAAACTAGCCAAAGGGATATTCTACACCACAGAATGTCATGCTCAGGATAGAAAGGGGAAGTTGGATGGGGGGGCAGGGGGCATGGATCACTGGCTGGGCATTAGTCAGTGGGTGGGTGAGTAATTGCACTGTGCATCACTTGTCTGTCTTGGGTTTTATTTCTCTCTCTTTTTGTTATCTTCCTTTTCATTATAACTACTATTGTAATATTTTATTTTATTTCATTTATTAAACTGTTTTTATCTCAACCCAGTTTTACTTTCCTTTTTCCAATTCTCCTCTCCATCCCACTGGGGCGCAGGGAGAGAGAGCATAGATGAGTGAGCAGGCGGTTGTGTGGTGCTGGATTGCTGGCTGTGGTTAAACCATGACATAAGGGATGAATGCAGAAAGTATGAACCTGAACTAGAAAGCACAAAAATACACCCTTGAATTTCACACAGCCTATGCATGTGGTATCTTCTGGCATCGATGAAAATGTTGCTGTGAATGTTAATGAGGCAAGGAACCAATCAAGCTCCAAAATCCAAAGTCTGACAGCTCAGATAAACAAACCCATGTAATTCAACCTCAGACTTATTCAGCACATCTCTCTTTTAATGTTACAGTATACAAGGCTACATTCTGAAGAAACATCCCACATGCTTAGAATATAAAGCTTGTACAAGTTTTAAAAAAATAAAGTAAGTATGACAGAAAGAAATAAATTAATTCCAAGTGCCAAGATCTGAAATAAATCAAAACACTCAACTAGGGAAGGTCAGGTAATGATGTTTACAGAAGGGTTGTGTTCTTGAAGTCAGCTACTCAGATATCTTTATTTGATATCTTATTAAATATCAATTTTTTTTCAAATAATTCAGTATACATTAAGATTGAACAGAAATAAAAGATACTTAAACCAATTACGTGAGGCTCTGGCAGCTTGGGGAGGATGACATTTGGGAGCAGTAGGGTCCAGCTCTTAACCACAGAGAGGCACCTTTTTATGGTCTCATTTATACTTCCTACCTTAGCTCTTAATATCCTTGCAAGGTGCTTAAGACCACTGCTAGGTGTGAAGTGCTTCAAAAATCCATGCCCTGGTCCAAAGGTCTACAATTTCTTTGCTTTAACAGTCTCTAAGTTTAAATGTTAACTATGTTCAAAGTCACTGGGGAAAAAAATATTAAGGAATGAAACTAAGATTTGGAGTAATTTTTATATGATAAGTTTTCTGTGTTGAAATCAAATATTTTAAGAAACAGCAAGAAAGTACGTCAAAATTCAACCCCCTTCAAACACTTACTGACAGCAGCTATCTTGACTACCAGCTTTATGTCTTTTACATTAGAGAAGGGAATTGTTTTTCTTCTAAATCAAAACCTTTTACTCTATGTTGACACTGTAGGTTGAAAGAAAAGTAAAGCAGTGTAGTCCAGTCTCCCTTTGCAAACTATTTTCCCTATTTCAAATTATTTTTATTAGAGTATATTCACTATACTCTGCAATATCAGTGTTTTCTTATTTTTAAGGAACCTAAAGAAGTACTCCCTTCCTATGGAAGTATTCAAAAAGAAAAGCATACTCATTTCAAGTAACACTCTGCCACAGACCCTCCTTATCTCCTGCTGACCAATCACATCTCCTGTTCTATGTATTAGACAGCTGGAAACCTGGTCTTTTCTCAGCGAGTCCTTCCTACCGCCAACTAATGTCACTCTTAACCTCTCCAGTTTTGGCCACTGTTAATGGCTGAGACTCAACTGTTTTGGAAAAGACAAACTGAGTATGTGAAAAGTTACATAAGGACACAGAAAGACTGAGAAGTACAAGTGAGGTGCTCTGCCTTGGCACTATTATCTTAAGACACAGGAGTGCAATAATCACCCCTTACATATTATTAAGCATCCTGTTTGAAGTCCTTTCAAATTTGATGAAATGCCCAACTGCCTTTCAGTGTGATTTGGGTTATTTAACAAAAGCCTGTGCCGGTCTGGAGAATAACAGTTAAGAGGAAAGAACTTACTTGTAAAACTTAATGGTGGGCTCAACAGCCAGCATAACGAATGGTGCAACAGTATAGCACACAGCCAGCTGAGTGACAACCCAGGTAACAACGTCATAGGCTATCTTGAGAGACACTGTTGAGAGGAAGTAATGTCTGCAACTGTTTCTTACCTAAAGGTTAGGGAAAACAAAACATAAAATTATATAAATTCATTTCTTAGGCAAAGTCACATGGATGCATTGTAGCATATGACTCTCCACTTATCATTAGTATTACAGAAAAGTTTATACTCTAGTTAGAGAGCACTGAGAGTAGGAAGACAAAAGTGTATTGACTGGCATATCTAAGATCCCACAGTCAAACAGAGGAAAACAGAGAAGTGTCCCCCAATTTCCTCTGTCATAATCATAGGAGCAGACTCTCATGCTGGGTATCTGGCACCATATCTTTGGGGAGTTGGTATGATTTGATATTCCTTCCTCCTGGTTTTGATTTATTACTGTTATCAACAGTGAAACAAAGTTACTTTAAATGAATAAATATGTGTTTATACCTGCAAGTGTGTGCTGTTCCCTAGAGATTTTGGTTTAGCTTCACTTCTATGAAATCCTCATAAATGAGAGGCAAAGCACATGTTAAGATCACATGTTCAGCAGCCTGCTCTATCCATAGTGGTTAATACTGATCACTGGTTTAATTCACCTTTCAAACTGACCTGGTTATTTATCCATAACCAAACTCTGAAAGACAACAGTGGTGTTTCCCAGCCCTGCACAACTGGCTGGTTCAGCCTGAAAGATCAGCAGTAATAAATTTAACAACAGTGAGACATGAAACCTGTTCTGTCTCTGGTGATTTTACCCAACATGAGGCCCATAAACACAGAGACCAGTTGCATCCACATGAAATTTCGAGTTCAAGTTTGGGCTAATGCTCAACCCATAGAAGCTTCTTGTGAAAGACTGGGCCCAGAGCCAATTACACGCCAGCATATAGGCAACATGACCCAGAAGTATAGACTCCAACATGACCTTGAATCCCTAGCAAATCTGACTGCCTGGACATAGCCGGTGGCACTACCAACTGTACACCCACAAGCAACATTTCCTCTGACAGCCAGGGACAGCACTGCAGCCTGTACGGAACTGGTGCTGGTTCTAGCTGCTGGGGGTACTTTTTAATGAGCATTGATACAGAACAAAGCTTCAGTGAACATCAAGCCCGCAAAGGCATGGAAGAGGGCTCACAGCAAGGACATGTTGCTTGACCATATCAGGGTGGTCCCTGCTGTTGACAGCTGCATGGGCCTTAGTAGAGAACATTGAAAGGTACATACTGTTCTGGCTGCGAGTGTGATAAGGATTCCAGTGAGAAATGTAAAATAATATCCAGGATAGATACCATGCCACAGGGCTGACAGGACAAATGTTAAAGCCGTAGGGTACCAGGGAGCTCTGTCATAGCAGACGCTGCAAAGATAAAAACAAAACAAGAAGAGGCTGAATACAACTGATCAAGGGACACGGCACTTCAAATCCTTCTCCATTTTTAAGGTCTTACTCTTTTCTTCATGGTCTTAACTTGCCTCTGTTACAGACCAGAACATGCGGCACTCTCCCTTCATTTAGATGGAGGGTTAGACAGAAAGAGGAAGCATGCTTTTATGCACCGAGTTTCCAGAGAGCGCCTGTACAAATATTCCCAGTGCTCACAGCATTTAAACAAATAACAGGGCAAAGGGCACCCAAGACTTCTCTTTCACCTTTATACCTCTATCTGGAATCACACACTACCCTTCAAAACTCTGATGGCAGATCAAGAGTGAGTCAAAGGACAGAGAGATATGACCCCACCCTTCTCTGGCAAAGGGACGTATTTTTAAGCACTGTTATCTGGCAGATGCTGGGAACAACTGGGAGTGTCGTAAGCTATTGCAAAACTGGGGATTCCTGCTAGATTTAGCAGTCCAAAATCTTACTCCAAAGATGCAAGCAAATGACACCCATTCAAGAACACACCAACCAGTCTATTTGGCTATCTGAAGTTTGCTGTGTTCCAAAGAAACTAGTCGAGATAATGCACTTCTTACCAGGAACATCATTGGAATCATGAAAAATAGTAGACATTGACTTTTAAGATGTATATCTTTAGAACAAAAATAGTTATGATAACTACAATAAAACTCTACCTGCATTTCAGACACCACACTGATTGTACGCTGAGTTTTAATCATGCCAAGAAGTGCATAACAAGTAATGACAGACAGATCAATCTACAAACTTTAGACTTATGCTAATATTTGTATATGCCTTAACAGTCATGGGTTAACACCAGAACCTCTCAGTGCTACAAGAAGTCTCTTCTCCATATAGCCAACAGGGACTCCCTGGAAAGCATCTTCTGGTAACTCCAAACCGGACTACACTGGGGCTCTGGAGATTTCAACTTCTCTCCAGTTTTAGCTGAACTGACCACTGAATTGGACCCCACTGACACAACAAGGCTCACCTCTGGTAGTAATATGTATGGGAAATATAACATAACAAAGTGAAACCATAAATCAAGAATAATGGAGGCAAACAGCAGCCTAAAAGATGCCAATAGAATGATATTACTTTTTATTATGGAAGATCTGAACAATTAATTTATGGCTTTGCTGCTCATATATAAAATGCAGGCATTTTACATTTGCAGCAATAAAACTTTACAGCACCAAATACCCTTTTATTCCACCAACTGTACAGACACAAGAAACCAAGAAAGACCAAGAAGCTATACATTTATAAGATTCGCCAGTCAGAGTTTTTCTAGGCCATCTAGAGTTTTTGGGTGTCACAAGGAAATTACTGTTTCACTACTCTTACCGTTTTAGCCAGGCAGCTGTCTGAATGTTCCAGTTTTCAATGTACATTTTAAAACTTGTCGCAGTCTAAGAAAGAAGTTCACATGAAATGTTAGCACTGAAACCTGTAAAATAATACCTGCATTTTAAATTAGAGAGGAGATACATGAAAAATATTAATTCTACTAGGTAACTGTTGTGAAGACTGTGCCACAGTCTGTCGTCACACTAATATGTTTTTGGGAAGGACACTATCTAGGCCGATTGCTCACTGTTAACACTTGGCACTTGCTGTAAAATCTCACTTAGTTTTGTAAAATTAAATACAATATTTGGTTATTTTTCAAATTACTGTAAATCTGAAAAGCTTTCTTGTTTTAAATGCTTGGCCTTCCCTTCAGTTCATAAACAGCTTCATTTTTGGAAGAGATATCTTGCTACCCATTACACAGTCTGAATTTCCCTAGAGTGTTATTAAAACAAAGTGTTATAAAAACTAAAAAAGAAAAAAAAAAGCGCCTTATTATTTGGGGGAAGACTAAAAAATATGGACAAAAAAAAAATCTTAGGACTGAATTTAGAAGCCAATTCTCAGCCCACGGACTAGCTTGAGAAACTAGAATGGACTCCAGGGTCCTGGTAGAACCACATGTACCTCTTCACCCCCAGCTTTAGGGGACTGCTGACTCCATTGAGCACCAGTTCCCCTAATCTTGGTCAACTTCACCTCTGGTGGCTCCCGACCCCTGCTCCCCCTTGTTCCTTGCCTGCTGACAGAAACCTCAGAGAATCTCCTCACCAAGCAGGAACACGATTCAGTGACATTATTTTCCCATATCAGCTGAAGGTGAGGACACACTGAAAAGACAGATTAAAGGCAAAGGGGCATATGCACATATTTTTGCACTTCCATGCAGAATCCTAAGGGCTAGTGCTTCATCCTCTGTGTTTAAAGAGTTAAAGTGATTAGCAATTCCCAATACAGTACTGCCGCATTTTAATCACATTACTGCACTAGGAGAAGCCAAGAAAAATACAATTTCTCTTCCAACTAATATTGTCACTCTCTGTTGGCCTCCTTTAAGTTCCCCTGTAACATTACCAAGAGAGAAAGTAGTCACTGGCTGTCAAAATATGCATGCTGCCAAGGCTTTTAAGTCCCCCACATGCATTTAGCCCCATCACATTTTAATGCCCTCACAACTCCTGACATGTTCTTAGACACATTTAACACTCAAGTTCCCAACTCTTAAGCAATTTTACATATGCAGGTGGCTATACCTCCTTAAAATGCACTGTACAATCACAGTGATTGAACAAGCACTTAAACTTCAGCTTCTGGAATTGTTGTTGGTGCCTAAGGTGACAGTTCAAGGCTTACCCAAAGTAATGGTCTCTGTAGCCTCTCTTCTCATTGCACATATGACCAAATCAATAGAGCACTCTGTTTTATGCTCCTGGAAATAACTTCTCCATCCCAATTCTCTATTGCTCATGTGACCAGTAAAGGGAAAAAACATTCTTGAGGGGCCTTACAGTTCAGTAGGTAGAGAGGAGCAAAGGCTACTGTTTCCTTAATTTGGCTTGTCTAAAAAGCACTGCCTGCACTTCATTTCCCTCCTTCAAGCAGGAACTGCCTCAGCCCATCAAGGTAGGAATCATCTCCTGCCCCAAAACTGAGTCAGATATTGATCCATGATCTCAGAGTGATATCTGGCATGCTGACGCCATCGAGGAGCATAAAGCATTTCTGGGCAGCGCCTTCTGTACCACTCGAGGGGAGATATATACTGAGGATTAATTAAGGTTAAAAAAAACAGAGAAAGGATGTTGAGAAAGAGAATGTATAATGATACTTCCAGCTTTGGCATCCTTCAATGAAGAATTAGAGGGGCTCTTTCATTTTTGAGAATAGCTATTACAGGACATTCACTTAGTCATATATCATTCAGTAATAAAGCAGTCAACTTGTTTTCATCTGCTTTTCCTTTTTAAAATCATAACTACAGGACTACAGGGGGAAGCTCCTCCTATTTCTAGAGAAAAGAAGCCTTTAGAAAGCAGTCTCAGTTGCGTAAACATTTTCACATCCCCCTGGCATTCACAAAATATTCTTCAGGGCAAATTACATTGGCCATCTTTTGCGTTAGAGAAACAAACATAAATAGCTTACAATAACTAATGGATGTTAAAAGGATACTGCAGTCTCAAGAAACATGTGACAAATGTTTTGAGAAACAGTGTGGTTTGCTGGATGGAGCTCTAGATCAGCAGCCATCTAAGCTCTATGCGGCCCTGCCAGTTCCCATTCAGGTTGCTCGGTTTTTACCTGTTATCTCTCCAACCCTTGCTTTTCGCCATTTACAAGAGGCACTCCAGGCATGTGCAGGGGGCCAGCTCTTGCACATGCCTGTGCCGTGCCTACTCGAGGCGGCCCCTTTCACTACCATCACCCATCTCATCTGAGTTACAGAAGTGGAAGACTGTTAGAAGTAAATAAACAGAATACACCACAGATGGTGGAGAATCATAGCTGCAAGCAATTTATTGACCCACTGAACTCAGCCACAATCCACAGTAATTGACTGCTCATTTATTAAACATCTGATTAATCATTTATTAGCCCTCTATAAACTATTTAGAAATGCAACCTGAATACAGAGTGTGACAAAGGCTGCGTGACAGATGCTTTTTATCTGCCCAACAGATAAAATATAAAACCTCTTCATGTTAAAGAGGCAGCCTGGTGGTATGGACTTATTTTACTTCCAGCATGACCATTTCTCTATAACTATGCCAGTGCAGCCACTCCTTTAACTCACCTCAATATTCCAGATATTTAAATTGGATAGCAGGTCCCAGCGGAAAGTGCCCCTCTCATCAACTCCACTGAATCCATAGCCAGCTGCATTGTTGACCGCATCTGCTGCAATGTCACAACAAAACAGGTCAAATCAGACTGCTGGAGGAACCATATTTTCTTACAAGTCACTATGGCACCCAATACACATTCAAGTCAGCTTTGTAGCAATTAGCATCCTCTCTTTCAATGAGAAGCTGCTTCTTAGCAAAAGGGCACTGCTATAAGGCAACACAAGAGTAATTTCCTCAAGAGAAAGACTAGCTACTCCTTGGCAGAATAAAACAAATTAAAATAAAACAGCAATGGCTAGAAATCACTTTTCACATTATTTTGCCTTTATTATCCATCTGAGATGGATACACAAAAGTTGCCATAAAATGAATTAGCATTTTCCTCAACAGGGTACCTGTCACAGCATTTTCCAGAAGTCAAACTGTAGAGTCTCAGAGACATGTTTACCATTCCTATTAAGAATTCCAGCATGGTTGTTTTAATTAAGACTTTCATTCATACTTCCACAGACAAAGCCTTTTGCTGTTTCTGTTGCTCAGTGCCTCCTTAAGTACCTCAAAATCTCTACAAATCAAATACTGAATAACTTCAATGACAGACTTAAGTCTTATTTTAAGTCTTTAAGTAAGAAGACTTAAGTCTTACTTTAAGTGCAAATAAAAGTTTGGGTAACTGTAGGCATTTCACATGCTGAACTCTTTCTCTTTCCCAGGGTGCCAATTAGCTACCACCCCTCTGAGACTTGCCTGGGAGCCATCTCATCACTGGATCTCAAGACCCTACTTCTAACGCACCCCTGCCAGAAATTCTCTCTCACTGTCCTAAAAAACCAGGAGGGACTCATTACCTCTGGATCACTAGGTACAGCCAAGACCAAGGATTATTGCAAGAAAAAGGAAAGCGAAAAGACAGGTAAGGTTTTTTCTTCTAGACCATTTACCAAATACATGCCTGGTTAAGTTATGCTTTTAGAAAGGTCAGCATTTCTTTCCCAAGAATGAAAACTGATTTTGCTTTGTAAGTGCTATGAATATGAGTACAGGCTCAAGGAGGAATCCCAAAGCACAACACTAGGGAGAGAACCTAATTAAAAGCAACAAGAGTAACAATAAATGAATAAATAAGTTAGCAGCCTTCTCTAACCTGAAACTTTCAATTTTATTTTCCACTTTACTAAACGAGTTAGATTTTACTGATGGAAAGAAAGGTCTCCAAGTTTTTCATTCTCTCTGTTAAAAAACAAAAACCAAAACCCTCAAAAAAGCCAACAACCATAGTGGAAATTATATTTATCTTACAGCCTGCCAGTGTCTTGCTATGAGGTAGGTAACAAGCTCTGAGGCCCATAAGACCCTGACCTATCACAGAGACTGGAGCTGCATGTAACTGTCCCCCAAAAGCAAGGGGTTTCCTGGATTTCTACTCCTTGCTGCTCCAAGGGTGGCAGTGTTCTTTGCCAAAACCAAGAAACCAGAAATTCAGGGGCATAAGAATACAGCAGACTTCTCAGGCTCTCGCCTCCCGAGCTGCTGTCTGCAGAGCAAGGTATAAAGTGCAGAAGAATTGCAATTGTCCACCCTTGAACTGCTCATGACACCCCAAGCACTGCAAAGCCCAGCAGCGCTTTCCCTACTGACTCCAACGCCTCTGGCCCATCGCTTTCACAGCTCCTTGGATACAGGCGCTCAGTCCCAAACTGGTTTCATCGACAGTTCTGAGTTAGGTTTGCAGTCACATTCCCATGACTATTGCTAATGTAGCGAGAAGCCGAATTTTCTGTCTTTCCATGGATCTGGAGGAATTGTGGCTCCCACACAATAGTGTGACTGTCCTTTCCTGAGGACAGGAAGCGCTTATCGGGCGGTTCAGCAGGCACTTTTATAATGCCCTGGGCCATGCCACCAGGAGCTAAACTGAGAAGGGATAAAGTGTCTGCTGTTCTGCTGCCTGGATTTGACACGTGAATAATGGAGGCCTCACCCTCCAGTATGCAATACATGCTTTTCCCAAACCCCCTCATTTGCAAGATATTTTTACGGTTTCTACAGCTTAGTCATGTCACAAATCCAAGTTCACTTTATCTCTTTGATAGGACTTTTAGTTAACTATAACAATAGAATTCTAGTTAACTATAATGCCAGAAAAAAAAAAAAAAAAAAATTAAAAAAAAAAAAAAAGGAGGCAACAATTTAATTTTGGATCCCACAAAAATAAAGTTTCTCAGCAAGCAACGCTTTATCCCAAAGCGTTTCCCATCCCACACATGCCAGTCCTGGCTGTCTTCCCTTGATCTGTCAGGCTTTTTTTTATTCCCAGAAGTTTAATCACAGCCTCGCAATGAGTTTCCCTGGCTGTTTCCATCCCAGCTCAATGACACACTTCTCAGTTTCAGGTGTATGCACTGCTGGCTGGGCTTCCAGGATCATCCCTACACAAAAAGTCTTGTAATATCAACAACAAAATTCAGTCTCTCAATCCTCAGCCTGACCTAGAAGGATTTGTGTCATAGATGGGAAAGGTGACTTCTAAAAGGGAAGAAGGTAAAATACAAGAAAGATTATTTTGTTCACATGTCTAGCTAGCTCCCAATAAAAGAAATCTGCTTTTATATAATTAGCCCTCCTCCTCCTTTTCTCCTTTTCCTTGCAGAGATTCTTGGGTCCTTCCCATCATCTCTTTGTTCCCCACCTTCCCCATGGCTCTCCAATCCTTTCTCTTGACTGCTGAAAGCTAACATGTGTACAGGATTACACAGTGCCTTAGAAGCAAAGCCTAACTTCAGCCCCCCAATGAGCACCACAGCTTTCTAATACAGATGTGTGTGCTAAAGATGTCCTTAAAGGAAGCGAGAGGTCTGCTTGCACTGTAACGTACTTGCAAAGCCTGAGCCAGTGTGACCAATTTTAACCTCCCAACCCCACTGAAGTAAGTGGCAAATTATGAATAAAGCATAAAAATCAAGGTTTAGAAGAGGCAAACTTTTCTTCCCCTAAGAATTCCCATTAAAAAATATTTTGGTACAATTACAAAGTTTTAAATAAGAGGAAATCATTACATTGACTTTACTGGCAAGAAGCTGAAAAGTGATCTGGTTCCAGAGGCAGGGGATGTCAAACAAGCTAGAAGAGATTATATGCACATTTTTCAAAACTTTTGACATCCCTCCACTTCAGTGGGGTCCACTGCCTACAGGAGCACGTGTACATCTCCCATGGGAACTATAGGTCTAGGAACTAATTCCACCGCCCCCCAATGTTTCAGATCCCCTCCCTCATTAATGAACTTATTTGTTACCTACAAAAATAAATTATGTAGCCAGACTTACCTAGTGTCCATGCAAAGTAATACTTTGGTTTTGCTGCCTGTGTTACAACATACAGGTAACCAAGTCTTGACAAGAAGGGTGTTTTATCAAGAAATTCATTATCAATAATATATGCCATAGGAAAGTTCTTGGTAAGTGTCAAGAATAAAATGAGAGATACTAGTGTGATACACAGCTTGTACATTACTGCTCCCTAAAAAGCACAAAGAGCAATGAAACAATGATTAGAAACATTTGCCTAAGGAAAAATAAAAAAAAAAAAGGCAGTACTCATGACATACAAAACCAATGCACTTCAGGAACCAATTAAGTTAGCACTTACAAAGTTGATAATTAATTTAGAAGAAGTAGCAAAGAAAAGCTTTGGTTTGTTTTACTGAACTACCTATAGATAGGTACAAAGGGCAATTAGAAGTCAATATTGGTGATTAACTTCATAGGAGACTCCTACATCAGTTAGAGAAAGTCCTAAAATGAGAAAGGAAGCAAATAAAACATCAAACTCTACAATGTAAAGGAGAAATCTTCTCTATATGGACTGCCATCTCCTGGAACTAAAGACTCGATTCCTCCTGGAAGCCAATACGATCAGTATTTAGTACAATAGTAGGCCCAGTTACCATCCAGAGGTCTTTCTAAAAATCACTTGTCCGAAAAAAAAAAAACGTTTTACACAGCATGCCTACCTTCTTATCATATAGGGTATCTGCTAAGCAGTACTGTTTTCTGTTACCACCCCCTAGCTTTCTATATACTAATATTATTGACAATCATGTCAGTAGTTAGAAGCTCAATTTCAAATACATATTAGGAATAAACTCTCCTTGATATAGTCCTAATTAAAAAGGCAAATCTGGCACTTGGGTACCATGTAAAAATTGACTCATGTTCTCAAAAGACTAATGAAAGTGCAATATACTATTGAAACAACAATGCGTTTTTTGATCCCAAGTACTCATTTTATATCTTCTTCACATTCAGGAATAAATTAATTGTGCAATTATCTTTAAATGGTTACAATGCAAATTTTAATATCCTCTGCTGACTTGCATCTAACACAATACGGGCCTTATTCTGACCTCAGTCAGACTAGTCAGAAGCAACACCACTGAAATTAGTAGAAATACAACCATGTGCAACAGAAATGGGGTATGTATAGGTACTTAATTTCAAAGGAGACATTCTGCACACACTCACAAAGCTACACATTCAAAACAACAACAAAAAAAGTGTTAACTGTATGTGAAAAATTACCTTTGAATAATATTAAAGTGTGAAAATCTCTTGCAAAGCACCTGGACAAGCTACAGCTTCTGAGTAGCCCTGATTCATGTATTTCTAACATCTCCTGCACTACAGGTGAGAGTTGATAGTTGTGTTTTTTCTTCCTGACATTGACTCTTCTGTTTGGAGCTGAACTGCAACCCGTCATTGCCAGAACCTGCAGACCATTCCCATCACTGCACAAAGGACACCCATTAACCAATGACCTGTTTTGCAAGCCAAAGGCATTTGGGGAATACAAGAGGAAGACACTAGCCCCTTCACCCCGACCCTGTGATAAAAACAGCAGCCACTTCATAGAAAAAAAAAACCAAACACCATAACATTTACTAGAAAGATAATCTAAAAATGGATTTTCTTCTTAGTTTTTAATTATGAGAATCATGTACAAAGCTGTACTCTCCTGCCCTTTGCAATTAATCTTTGTCATTTTAAAACTTACAGTTGGAGAAGGATCAGGAAGTCTGTCATAACCCTTCTGCTTCCAGTTCACTTCTAACAGTTTCATGTGCACATGCCTCCCTTCAATGAAGGCTATATAATCCTTGTAATTGCTGCAAGGCCCAGCTATGATGCTCATAAAATTGAGGAGATAGCTTAAATACTCCAGTAAAGAAGGTCTTGTCCTGTGAAAATCATCCACACATGACAAAAGAGAAAAAAAAAATAAAATCAAGGTAAAACCCAGCAAAGGTTTTCACAAATGCTTTTTGTTGTACTGTCTGCCTCCATGCCCAGCTCTCTCCTACCACCCTCCCCCCAGCTGAAGGCTCACTAGATCTGTTTTGGAGAAAACGAAGCACAGCCTCTCTTATATCCCAGTGATGTCTGGCAGATGGCAGTCAGAACAAGGGTAACATGGAAGTGCTTAAGCTACCGGTGAACGAATGCTACTAATTTGATAAGTTGTAATCTTATTACTAGAAACATTTTAGTTAAAACCAGTCATAAACTTAAATACCCACTCTCAAAAAAATTGACTTGCGTATTTTGAACAGGCCAGCAGTACCAGGAGCAAGAAGCCAGCAACTGGTTTTGGACATCTGTCCAGCATATTGGGGACCAGTAACGGCTGGCAGACCACAAGCTGAGTAACGCTGGTCTCACCAAGTTGTGCAATGCAGTACCTTGCCTCATTATGCAAACCACAGGGCAGGGAGCATTTAAGACCAGGACTCTCAGGCTTGAAAGGAACTCTCACCCACCCTTCAGTTCAGCCTTCTGAAAAATGGGAAGTGGGATGCGAGACAGAGGAAGAGAATGAAGAGGCACTCTGTCCTACTGTGCAAATAAAGGAAGTAATTGCCTCTATTTCATCATGAACAGGAAAAGGAACTAAAGAGAAAATACACCTAAATCAAAGACAACGGAAGATGAAAGTCAAGGAAAGTCCATTATGTTCGTTATTTCCACTTTGAAAGTGCATATTCCACAAGTTCCTTGGGGGGTTTTTACATTAGATGTAAAATGAAGAAGATTCACTGTCTTTGCTACAGATCAGTAGGATGGAAAAATAAGATGCACAGGCCTCTAACCGCTAGTGTAATTAGTAAATTGTTGGGCTTGCTTTATTTATGCAGAAGAGAACACCAACATCTAAATTCTGCACTGGGATACACAGTGCTCTCCACAAATGTGCTAACAGTCACCATCCAAGTAAACAAGGAGTCCCCAGATGAGAATAGAAATTAGGGCACAGTGTTTCAAGACTTTCCTGTCCAAGACAGATGGACACGCATAAACTGAAACTCACTTAAAATTCTTTCAGACCAAAACATAAATTTCTAGCAGAAAAACTAATCAACAGTTAAACATTTGCTGCTGCCTACTTTTATTCTGAAGCAGAATTAGTTTGAATAAACAGTTAGCTTGGCCAGGATTTTCTGCATCCACCCTGCTGGTTATGCTAGTGCCCGAATGATATGTTGTCTTGTGAAAGCATTTCACAGAAAGGTACAGCAAACAATTTGGGATAAGGCTCATCTTTCTGTTCTGAAAAATGAGTCCATGATTTGTGTTTCTGAGCTCTACAGTAAGATTAAAAATAAAGTCATTAGTTTCAATTTAGATTCTGCACATGGGTGGGTGGGGAGACATGAGCAATGCACGAAGGAATGTACAGAGGATGAGTGAGAAACAAAAACAGACCAAGAACAGGAGGGAAGACAAAAGGCTGTATTACCAAAGGGGATTTAAAACTCTTCAGTTATGACTTGTCTGCCACCAACACTTGAGCTATTGGCATGCACTTTTCTATTATGAGCTCATCTACTGAACAAGGGGGGAAAAAAAAAAAAAAAAGCCTGTTTGGTGAGAATCTGACTAGAATTAATCATATGGTCACAAGGGCTCAGTGCAGTTAAACATTATGCTCTAAGTTTTAAAAATAGACATAAAGCTATGGGCCACTGCAAAAGTTTTACAAGTCTCCCTACAGGACTTCTGTTTTTCAAGAAATTACTCTCTTCTTACTTTTAGAAGTTCATAGGCAGATTTTCTGATGGCTGAATCTTCTGCCTTAGAAATTAAGAAAATAATTGCCTTGGCCTTAAACAAATACTTTATCGTAAAAAGTAGTTACAGTTCTAAGACAAATTCTGTAACACTAATTACTCTTTAAAAAAAAGGGAAAAAAGGGATTCGCCTGCATCCTGCATTTGTATTGAAACACAAAATAGAAAAAAGAAAGGTGCTCAATCATGGGATCAGCATGTTATCTCCCTCTGAATAATGAGACAACTAGTCACACAACATGAAGGACCATAAGTATTAATGTTACGGAGAGGGAAAGGATAAATAAAATTCCAGTGTCCAAAAATGACAGTAAAGAAAAGCAGTACTTGAAGTGTCAGAGTCAAACCAAAATGGATTTTTACTATACAGTGGGTTGCTGACAGATGAGGATTATTCTACTTGGTAAAATAGCATATTATACATAGGATGAAGACAACAGCTAAGAAGTCTATATAGTACAGTCTTAGCCTGAATATAAAAAGTCGCTTCAGCAAAGACTAGTTTTGTTGCATATGGAGTATATATTTAAGTCAATGAGATATTGCCAAGTACTTCAGTAGACCAGCACAGGGTGACAGAGGCAAAAGTCCTGGATTGAAGAAATAAGGAATATAGCAAAGAAGCTGTGTTTGTGTAAGGAGGGCACTGACAGCCACATTAGAAAACCCAAACTTTTCAAGCAAATAGAAAAAGCAGGTAGGACTTTTGTCTTATTATGGACTGGAAAGAAGCAAGGAACATTTTCATGGCCAGGCCATGAAGTTGGTCCTGACATTGCAAAGGAAAAAAACCAAACCCTAAACACAACCCAAACCCTGGACTTCTTTGGATGAAATTAAACACAAATTAGTAGGGGAATTAAAATCTTACTTCACAGCAAGCCGATTTTGCTCAGCAGTGAGTTCCTCAGCTTGTCGCCCTATTCCTAGAAAGAAAGAAGTCACTTTAGATCTTTCCAAAAGTCAAACTGTGAAAGCTATCCCCAAAGCCTTACATTTGCATCCCACAGATAACTTTCTAAAGCCTCGAGCTTCAAGGTTGCTTTGTCACAGGCAGTTCCTAACTTTCAGGTCAAGTATATTCATGTTCTACCCTACCTCTTCACCCAGTTCCTTACCTCACTCCACCTTTCTCACCCTTGCTACACTTTCAGGAAGAGCAGCCATAGTATTCCCACACACACAATGCCACTCCCAATGCCACCAATAGGCAGTGACCCCCCAGCAGCCTCTACTAACAGTCCGGGGCTGGAAAAACCTCTGTTCCCAGAAGCTGCTGGCTCATTTAAACACAAGCTTCCCGCTGGGTCCTTGGTGAGAAATGGAGCATTTCACAGCAGGAGGAGTGGGCAGTGGAAGAGAAAGGGCTCTCGGAACAGAAGCTCCACTGGTGTGAACAAGCAGCCTGGCTGCCTGCTGCTGGAGCAAGCCTAAATACAAACATCAGTAATAATCTGGAATTGTACAAGGTCCAGACTGGAAGGGCAACCTCCTGTTGAGTGCACGAGACCTTTGGGGCCAGAGGTAGAGCACAGACTCGCTGTCCCAGGAAAACTATGGAAAAGTCTTGTATGATGGCCAGCGTATAAACAGATGTTGTTCATAGCTGGTATCTCAAAACCTTGACTCTGAAGTTTTAGCTGTGCATACTGTGAGAAATCTCACTGACTTCAGCAGAACAACCCACCGTGGGATGAATCACAGCACTTGATGCTGAGCATGCAATATATAGAGCTTCACAAGATCAGGGGCCTGGCATCAACACTACTGTTCTAAACTTACTGGCCATTACCAATACACACACAAGACCCATTTCCTAAAAAGACTGCTGATAAACTGCTGATTTCCATTTTCTCTCCCTTATTTCAGTTTGTAAATACTGAGAATACAAGTTCCAGGGAAACAATTAAGCACTTAAAGGGCTGGGGATTTTGTTTGTCTGTTTCCATTTAAGGGCAATTACATTAAAGTTTTACAAATAGAAAGTTGTCACTGATGCTTGAACTGCAAAGCTGCCTCCATCCCATCAACTGCTTCATATATGGATGTTTACAAAGTAACGATCCTTTTCCACTGTCATTAACCCGTGGATTTCTGGTTTGCTTAAAATGCTCCTGCCTCTGCTGTTATCTCTTCCTTTCTGTCTGTTCGTTTACCTTCAATATTCTAGGTGTGAATCTGGGCTGCACACCACTAGGGCACGCAGAATACTTGAGCCGGCAAGCTTAAATGACAGAAGCAGAGAAGCCCCAGCAACATGAATGTCAATGGTAAGGACAATTAGCCAAGCTTCAAGGTGCACTCATTATAGTCAGCTAAAAACAGCAGACCCACCGGCGTAAACATGACTTGCAAACGATACCAGACCCTGCAGTCTGCGGTGTGGCCATCAGCTAAATCCCAGATCATAACAACTCTATAGCAGGCTACTTACTTAGCCGCTCACTGTTTATAAGGCAGTGGGCCTCAGACCATCAGAAATTCACACTGCAACATCAGTAGACATGAGCAATAACGGTACTGATGACATCTGACACTTCTAGGCTTTGCACTGAACTAGACACAGGCATTTTACTGGGAAATAATAGTTCTCTTTGTCACAGCACAGCACAAGACTGAAGACAATGTTATTTTGCTTGCAACTGTGCTTCCTTCTGCACTGGGAAACAGCTATTGAATTCCATCTCTCAACTCATGGAGTAAACTATCACTGAATATATCAATGATAGCATATTTTTGCGACATTAACATTAATGATTGAACCTAAGCAAACACAACTCTTGACTTTTGAGAATCAATAACAGCTTCAGAGCGCTTAATGGAGATGCACTGTGGCATCTAAACAGCAGATACTGGTACTAGCTAAAATCCAAATCAGGCCCCAAGGAAGTAGAGCACCCAAAGAGGAAAACAGTTGTCTTCATTACTGCAAAGACAGTTTGATCCTAGAAAACTGATCAAAACTTGAAGTTTCTCGTTTTTCTCCACAAAGCATTCATCTTCATTTGGAGCAATCTGAGGAACTATATTCATCCAACTCTGTAACTCAACCACAGAATGGACTGGAATAAAAACGCTGTCTTCAGGACATGGGAAGAGATTCCTTTTCTTACCATCATGTAACTGGCATGCAAGTGTTGTGATCTTCTGTGTAATTATCATCAGTGGACTATAACAAAGACAGAAACAACAGTTACATGTCTTGTAATACAAATTATTCCCAAATTCTTACTGAATGTCTTTATCCCTTTAAAAGGCATAACTCTATTAGCAACAAGTGAAAAACATCCAATTAAAACTGAAGGAGGAACTCAGGCATAAGACAATTGCCTGGGTTCAAAACAACCCCACAGTAACTTGCACTGGAATTTTTAATTGCTAAGTGCACACAAAGCCTTATTTTATGTCTTCCCATCCTGCAGCAGTGCAAATTGTAATTCAGAAGGAATCGCACCACTAGGAAACAACCAGCTTCTGCAGTCCACTGGGCTTCCTTTCAGGCAAAGTCCAAATTCAAGCCCCACACAATGCAACACTAGAATACAGCAATGCTGTTGTAACATAACTCTGGCTCTTCTTACTGTTACTCTCCTATTGTCTGTCTCCTCAGTGCCCTATAAAAAAAGTTGACTGCAGATACACGTGCTTATTTCCCCACATGAATAGCCCTATCAGCTAGGACTGCATTCAAATACCACAACAGCTGTCAGCCCAGCAGTTTCCCACTTGCTTCTTGGCCATGCAAGTGCCTTGTGGACAGCCTTGTGGACACAGATGTGCCATCCAGCTGAGAGTATTTGGGCATGTGGGATCTGGAGCCTCTCAAAAACATGAGCTATCTGTACCTGAGCCATGCTTACAGGCTACAACCACCCAGCAGCTTTGGGGCCAACCAGACAAGCAGCGAACTATGTTCAGTAGGGGCTGCTTATACTTCCAGTATCCAGCTTTATGGAGCTTCTTAGCATTGTAGGCAAATGTGAGCTGCTGCAGCTAAGGAATAGAAAAAAGGCAAAACTCAGCTTGGTGGCATCAGGAGCTAGCCCCCAGGAGGGTAAAGGACACAGATTCAGAGTCACACAAGAAGAAAGATGGGGGGAAACCATGGGGACAACTAACCAGTCCCTCAAAGGCAGATGCTCCAGGGCTAATTGTGGTCCATATACAGCTTCTAAGGGCTGTGGAGCCCAAAACACAAAACCTGGCACAGAACATCTGTAATCTGGAAGGACCCATGGCAGGCAAAGCAAGGGACGAGCACCTGCTAACAATGCCTGTTCCCATCGCTCTGCCACTGGGGACACCAGCACAGGGGGCCCAGATCTCACACTACCTACGAGACCTTTACCACCGCAATGGCCAGGAGGTTGTAATGGGTGATGAGGATACATAATTATTTTCAAATCACTAATCATGGTGATTATATGTAAAACCAGTTCAACATAAGAGATTTGGCTTTGCTGAGGATTAGTACAATGAATTGTTTCTCGACTTGGTGATAAATTATCAACACAAACCATACAGTGGTTTCTGCTTGAACATAAACAATGTTTTCAACATGGAAATTAAAACCCAAGTTTGTGTACCTGCTATTTCCAGAGTTTGACAAGTATATGGAACTTTTTTAAGGAACGTAGATGATTACTCCAAATATTATGGCTATTCATTTTAAATATTGTAATATATTTTCTGGAATTCAATGAAAGAAAAAAAAGCTGAAGGATTTTATTTTAGTTTGAGCACTGTATTTTCCCCACTCATTTCTCAAAGTAAGAAAATAAAAGCACAAGTTACATTCAATGATACCTCTGTCTAAAATAACAGTCAACTATTCATGTTCTGCAGAGATTTTAAAGATATTCTGAATCACCCTTGACTAAATCAACCTACTGGTTACAGCCAAATGTAAACCCAATAGCTAATATAAACTGTATGCAATCTGACTATCCCACTATGATAAATCAAACTGATTTTCAAGATAATTAATATGCTGAGCATGGTAAACACAAGAATACTGGACAAAGACATTCTTTCATCGTAAGTGGTCTTTTTTTTAAATACTAAATATAGCTGATCTTTTTCAAGAGTCCACATGTAATTCTGCATGGCAAAACCAGAGAACATGCAATATCAGCCAATTTCTTAATCAGAAACTATTTTTACCAGTTCAACAGTCTCTACTTGAAATGTCAGTATAAAATCTTGCACTTAAAATCCGGAACAACCTTAAATATACACAGATCTGGAATACAACTATAACACAAGGGTTTGTCCAGCAGCTCTCCTTGGGTCACCTAGTCCACTGATTGCAGTTAAGGAATGCACAAATTCAACAATGACTTTTCACCTTCCAGACAACTCCAATACTGTGAAATAGTCATTGTAATTTTTATTCCAATTCACCTTTCAAGAAAAGTCATTTGGAAGTTGTTTCCGCCATTATCTTCAACATCCTATTGCTCCAAGTAATTTTCCTATTCAGACAAAAATTTAGCTTTGATTTCAAAGGTACATATATCCCAATCCTTTAAGCATACAAAAAGCAGATTTTTTTTTTTTTTTTAATCCTTAAGAGAGACAGAGGCTGTCAGTGAACAAGCAGTTCTGCTGCAATAAACACAGATTTTTATTTTGTCAGTGCTTGACCTTTTAGCTTTATGGGTGAACAGTAACACTTGTTTCAAATTGGTTCAATTTGATGCATATGTTTCTTACAGCAAGCACTTCATGCCAATATTGAAGTGGGTAACTTTAAACCTCAGGCTCAGAGCCAAAACTGTGTGCCTTTAAGTGCCTAAATTTAGACACTTGTCTTAGAAGACTGGGCCCCCCATCGTAAGCAGGAGAGAACCAAAATGCAAACAATCCTGATGTGCTGATTATCTAAGGGAAGCAGAAATGAACTCTGCACTGAAGTCATACAATGTATAAACACAGAGAAGAGTGGTTTTCTTCATCTATATTAGGAATTCACCACCTCTCACGCATTTTAATCAGAAAAGACAGTGGTCTGCCTCCCTCAAATCCCAACCCCAGATGAGACAAGTGAGCACAAAAGCAATGCTGCTGATACTGTGGGTGAGGAAGACCCACAAACTGCATCTGAGATACCTTCAGTTCTCTTTCCTGCCATTATCGTATTACACATCTACATACCTGTTCTATACCATACTCGGGAAGATGGAAACCTGCTGTACAGTGGCAATGGGAAAACATCCTCTAAATCTTTCACAAGATCAGTATCAGATATCATTAAACGCCTCACACAAAGGGTAAGCAAAGTTTCAGGTGAACAGGGAGCATCTTGCTCATCCCTCACCTGTCTACCATTCTCCCACTGACTTGATCTCACTGGGGGACCAACCCTTCACTGCAGGAAAGGGCAGAGCACAACAAAACAATGGCAGTACTGGAGCTCTCCCTTCTTCTGGCACTCCTTTGGGCATGAAGACCTACCTCTAGAAAGGAATCATTTGAAATAAAACACATTTAAGAAGTCTAAATTATTTCAACTCCATTATATTTGAACACCTTCCAAAGGCTTTGCAGCCACATGCAGAGTAGTGATGCTACATCCTCTCCTCTTCACCTGTCCTATTAAGCACTACAGTTACAAATTAGCATGGGAACAAAGATTTTGATTTACATGTGGTGTGACTCCCTCCCCCCCCCAATGTTTTAGATATTGGCTAAGAGTTTAATCTTAGGTGTAGCTGCCTTGTACCTCCCACACACAAACCACAGAGGCCAACTTTTAACTAGAAAAAATATATTTAAAAAAAAAATCAAGAAATTGTCCCAGCGAGTTGGTATGAAATAGAAAATTTCAACAAATAAAAAAAAAGTTTAAAAAGCCCCCAAACTGTCTTTACCTTACATTAGATTCCTTGAAAAGTAACAGAAGTCAAAGATGCAACAGTTTACAGAGAATGATCAGTAAAAGGTTTTAACCTCCTAATTAAACTTTCCAAACGAAAACATACCAGTTAGTGTCATTTTTAAACATGGTTTGCCCCAACACAATAAATTTGCCCAGAAGCACAGGCCAGTGGAACTGAAGATGTCAGCATTGGTTGTAGCCTGCTGTGGGGATCCTCCCCATAACACAGGCTGGATTCTGCACTGAGCAAGCCTCAACGGTTATGACAGAAATGACGTTTACCCAGTAGAGTCTGTCTGACCTTAGGTAATCCTGTGGAGGAGTCTGGCACACGCTTGCTAGAAATAGTTTCCACTGACCTGATTTCACTAAGAGAGGAGGTGGAGTCAAAAGGCTCATTGCAGACAAGGCTCCAAAACAGCAAACATTTATTTCAGGTTTATCTCTTTAGCCCTGAAGCCATGATGAGAAGTTCACACAGTCACACTGATACAACACTAACTGTTACTGCCGAGGGGATCGTCAAGCCAGAGGCACCACCACAGCTTTGCTGGCAGTGAGCACTTACTTTTGCTTTCGACAACAAAATGAAAAAGTGCTGAAGCTCACAGAGGAAAAAAAATACTTCACTAAACACACTAATGTCTCCAAAGCAGCTTCCAATTTGCTGCTTTTTTTTTTTTTTTTTTTTTTTTTTTTTTTTTTTTGCTTCCAAAGAGCGTTTCTTACACCTTCATGGTAGAAACCACTTTACTTAGAGTATTTACTTCTGGAGAAGTGTCCTGGGATGCACTAGCATGGAGCTCTAGTAATGACTGCCTGCTTGAATTCTGGCTAATTCCCACATTGCAGCTCTTGCAGGGCTTCTGTGTAACGAATGGTAAATGACCTCAGAGCAGTTTCAAGTGGAAAAATGCCCAGGGGAGGAGCCAAGCAGCGAGCGGGCACAGAAAACTGACTGACCTCCCCTTACTGCCCCTTCACCTGCGCTGCTGTACTGCCGCTGGGGACTTGCTGCTGACCAAAGTTACCCAGAGCTGCTGGAACACACATTTCAACAACTTACTGCACTTCATACACTTTTTAAAAAGACAAGAAAATAAAAATAACCAACTGAACTCGCAGGGCCAGTTAGTATTTCTGCATTGTGTTTTAACATGGTAACAGAGTACATCTATGCTTGTTTCCATCAGCAAGTGTGTTTCCTTTGTAAAAACCAGCTGTTATACCTTTGTTCCTTTCTTTTGCAACTAAGCCATTGAGAGGGGCAAAACCAGCAACAAAGCACAACCAGTCGACAGAAATTCACTGTGTGAAGTGACACTTGTTACTAAAGTATCTGCTTACATAGCTTCTGGTGAGCACTCTTTGAATGGCCATCCCTTTCTAAGCTGTTTGCTGAGAATGCTGTTGCTGTTCTGCATTTGGGATAAAGCAAACACATCAAGATGCCCATTCCTTCTGGAGAGTGATGTCCACCAAAACACTCATCTAAGAGGTACAGATTTGACATCTGCAGGGAGGAAAACTGCTCGTGTCCCCCTGATAATTCAGCTCTGGTACCTCCAAGACCATCAGAAGATTAAAAGCAATGCCAGTGTGTGGGGTGATTTTCACAAACTGAGTTTCTTTTCTGTAAGGAATGGCACAAACTCACATATGCATAACCATTCCATGACATTCACTGAATGAGCTGCAATATTAGGAAACCTTGCTCAGATACTGCACACATTTGAAGAGGAAACCAAAAACCTCTATGGTCTTAATCAAGCAAAGGATTAAAGCAGACAGAGCTTCATATGGACAAGGCGCTCTTCCGAATTCCATACAGATGATCATATGCATATGGCATTTCTTCATGTAGCTTGCTAGATTGAAACCATATCTATTACTAGTTTCCAAAAATCCCAATCAAGATCCCTTGATTTATTTTAAACTAATTTCTCTCTAAAGCCATAATATTACTATACTTGGTCTGAGCCTGTGATACAAAAAAACCACCAACCCAAAACTGTACGCTCGCATTACCATTTTTATAAAGTTGTATAGAAACCAGACAACTTACCAGCATAATCCTCTTAGCATAAAGAAGAAGAAATAAGAGAGAGAAAAAAGAGAAAGAGTTAGGATTTAGTTTTCCTAGGTACAATGTATAAATGCCATGGCAAACCAAGCAAAATAAAATATGCATGTTTCTCTCAAAGACTGATTTCAATTAAGGGAGAAGCACAGCATTCAGGTATTTTATGATTAGTGTTCAAAAATGAATAGTTTTCTTTGAGAAAGCAGTCAAGAGAAAATTCCTAAACTATGTCACTACATTTTGTGAAATAACATAAAGAACTTTTATAAAATACATATATATTTTTTAAAAAGTAATTAAAAGTGTAGCAAACTGGAATTGGTTTTCATTAAAACCTGGCATGTAGTTTAAAAAAAAAATAAAATGGAGTTTTCACCTAAGCACTATGCAACACGTGAAAAACTCTTAAATCAAGGAATTGCTGCAAGCAGCTTGAGTACAGTTTTGCTTGTGGAGTCAGTGACCAAACCTACCTTTTGCCTGAGTTAGAAGACTTAACTAGTCACTAGTAGGGAACAAGTCTCCTTAGTTCTTAACCTTAATTGATGAGTCACAGTTTGATCTCCAATTTTCCAGTTTACTTAAGTCATGACTCAAAAGTTAGCTTGTTCTCTCCATCTCTACCTGTATTTTACAAGCTGTGTTCTCAAACTGGGGGGACCCAAACAAATAGCACAATCAACTATTACTAAAGAACAAAAAAGAAAAGGATTTGCAAGCACACATCAAAAGGGTTACACATGCAAGCTGTTAAGTGTATAAAGCAGGTCAAGAGAGCAAACTATGTATGCCAGCTTTCAGCATCGACACTGGGAAACACCCATTTAGCATCTGGCTTGTCAGTTTAGAGAACTGACATTGGAAAGCTGATGGCACTAGGACTGGTTATGTGCCTATTTGATCTGGATCAAAACTTCCTCCTTGCAATCAGGTTATCACCAGAGACTTAGGGGATACTGAGACCTCAAATACCAGTCAGCAGATGACAAGCTTTTTGTTCCCTTTTGAAGATTCCCTTAAATCCAGTGGTTTGCCTTCTCAACGTACATCCCCAGCCATGTTCACCCAAAAGGATCTGAGGCTGGAGGGAGATGGGCATCGCTTGATGGACTCTGTCTTGGTTGTTTCTGAAGTCCAGAGAGAGAACTTTAAGGCCACCCTTTCAGCCAGGAGCCTGTTTGAATGCTTCCCTGTTACCACATGCAATAGATGTGGAACCATCAAACATGAAAGAATAAGCAAGAGGAGGTTCAGTTGCTGCTCATACATGGTACTTCTGTGGTCAGGGAGTATATTTTGTCTCTCTCGGTCATCACATCTGTTTAGGAATGTACATAAAGCCTCAGTGGGCACATATTATTTGCAGCTGAGGAAAAACGGTTTTAAGACAGATTTATGAGGCTGAACTGTGTTTCAGCACTTTGGATTGCAAGATTTTAATAATACCTTTACAATTTATTTATTTATTCTTAGTTTTTAAAATATACCATGAAGGTGTAGTTCATATCCATACTACATTTTCCAGGTGTTTACTACTTGGCAGTTTTATGTTTGACTGAAGTTTAGAAATTGGTTTATATCTTGAAGCATCAGGACAAAATCAAATAACAAAGTTCAGGTATTATTCTTTCAGTATCATTATTATCCTCAAGCTCATCATTAGGTAAGCATAGCTTCTTTTTCATCAAGAGAGCAGAAAATCCTACCTAATCTATAATATAAACAGCCACCGTTCCTCCTCTTCCACCCCCAGTCTCAGCTGGATCTTTATTAAATGTCTTCACAGAAAGAGAGCTAATATGCCTCACAGCGCATTTCTGAACGCGCTATTGAGAAAAGCATGCTCTCTTGTTTCTCTCTCTGTCTCACATGCACAGTTACAACATTCCAATCCCATTTATAGGTTTCTTGGTATGTAATGCTCTTTCAGGACATGCTTTTGTGCATTAAAAGAACCACAGAAAATATTATAGAACTCTATTTCTTTAATTGTATGAGTTCCCATTTCTGCCCCTTCAGAGGAACTTTCCCCCTGCCCCCTGAAATTTAATTAAATGCTTAAACCCACCACCTCACACAGAGACACATGCACATACACAGCAAAACCTTTTGATTTCCTACTCTATGCCTCAAAGAAGACAAAGTCTTGGAAGAGATATCTGCAATTTACTGTGCCAGTTTACATAAGTTTTTCATAGTATGTTACTAATTACTCTGTATTCAGATATTTAATTAAACAAGTGGAATACAGATTACCACATTGCTTTTAAATTATGCAAAAGCATACCTTCCCTTCATAACAAAATATATAGGGTTAGCTGTTGGTATTTTTGCAAAGCATCCTCTACTACTTCAGTGAAATCAGAGACTACAGTATATGTGAAAAACACTGTTCCACAGAAATGCATGGCATTTAAAAAGTTGTGCTACTTAAATAGCAGCTACAACCTGCTGCTGTGAGAGAACCCATAAGAACGGCGCCAAAAGCGGAAGCTATTCTAGTGTCTAGTGCCCAGGTTACCCACCCACCTCCCAGCTCCCCCAGTCATCCACTCCCTGTCCAAGTCCACTGGGGTAGGAAACACCTTCCCAGCTGGGGCATCAAGATAAATCAGAATAGGGGAAAGGATAACCCAGAACCGACAGCTGTGACTAGGAAGGTGTGAGGAGAGCAGCCCACCACACCTCTCAGGACAGCCCACCAGCCATGCTGCTTACCAGGGCTGTAAGCACTCCACCAGCTCCAGTAAGTGACTGGGCAGACTTATCACCTGCTCTAGGTGAAAGTCTAACTAACCAAGCTCTACCTTCCTAACTAGATAGCACCTAGCAAGAAAACATCAGAAACAATGAGTCAATACAAAAATCATACAGTGTTTATTCCTTCCTTAGAAAGAAAAGTCTTGGAAAAAGTTTAAGAGAAACAAAATTGCAGGTGCTCCACAGGTAACAAAAATTGTTCTTAGAACATACTGATTTCAACTAATACTAATTGACACAGGACCCAGCTTGCAGACTCACTCACCCGGAAAAATCTGTAGTGAGAATACCATAATGAAATATGTATATTCGGCTTATGTGGCACAACGTGAGGTATCCCATAGCTACGACAAAGGAGTACCTAAAACAATAACATACAGAACACATAGTTACCAACACAAGTACCAACAAGAACTAAAATCACTTAAATTGGGTTTGGGCTTGTTTAGGAGTCGAGTTTGATTTTTGCAAATGAGGTTGTTAACAAGTCTGAAGCTATGTTACGAGATCTGGCAGAAATTTTCAAAGAGGACTGATAGTTTTGTGTACCCAGCTAAAACATTACAGATGCATCTCCTCACACTGGGGTGGGAAAAAAGGAAAGAAGAAATAGGATCACTTCTAGTTGGGCATTTCAATTTCAGACATCCCATGCTCACGTATTATTTTGAAATTTCTGACTCACGTATTTGAAACCAGATGATACTGTATGTGTGTTGCCAAAGTTATCCACTAACTTTTTTATCTGTAAATGTTCTTTATTCACATGTACAAGTCTTCCTCAGATCTACCAGAAACTAAAATATTTCAAGATATTTTCTTTCTTCTGATTTTGATAAATAACATATAGCTTAATCTTTTTGGCTCTAAATGCCATCTTCCAGAAGAATCATAGAATCACTTAGGTTGAAAAAGACCTTTAAGATCATCGAGTCCAACCGAAGCAGCATTCCTTAAATGGAATATGACAACTTCACTCTCTCTTTTTCAAGATGATCACAAAATTATGTTAGGCAGGACAGTAGCATGACTATCTTAAGAGTTGAATGGTCTGAGGACTAGAAGTGTTGCAGTGTCTAGGTGGGCCAGACGCAACCTTTCATACAACTCACTTCTCCCTGAGCAAGAAAGAGGATACTGGGGAGGAAAGAAGCAGATGGGTATCTGGACACCGACTGACACATGAAGCAAGCTAGACAGTGCAATGGAGAGCTGGAACACCAGAACAAAAGGCTTGCATCACATGGACAGGCCAGGACCAGGTCTACTGGTGCCCCCTGTGTCAGAAGTTAGCCACATGGGAGAGAAGATGCAACGACCTGCAGACTACAGACTGAGACTGCACATCCTGCACACCCAGCAGAGCTGGGCCACGGGAGGTCAGGCAGCCTGGTAAGCACACATTGCCAAGCAGGGTCCCCCCAGACCCACAGGAGGATTGATCATGGTGGGGAACTAAAGGTGAAATCAGACTCGACAAAGTTAGCAGATGACTAAACATGAGCCAGGCCTTTGTCAAAACATGGCTGGCTTTAGAAGAAATTAGTTTTTCCTCCCTGGGGACCAATAAAGTGCAGTGTGAATGACAGTGATGGATAGCAAGGCAACCTGCAGGTCACATGGCCCGCAGCAAACAGCTGGATGAAAGGCAGACTGAGAGGACATGATAGCTTCTTCAGGAGATTCAGAGCAGAATGTATCTTACTTTATCTGGGTCAGGCATCCAGCCCAGCCTCAGCAAGGTCCTTGGGCTCCCTCTCATCAACAGAGAACAGCAAGCATCCCTCCAAACGCAAGCCACCCAGCTGAGACATCTAACAGTGATAGATGGGATCAAGCAAAATAAGCCTCAGTGCTTAAGCATAAAGCACCTAGATTGAAAGGGGGTGATCAGAGAGAGATATACTGAATTGCTGCTGCATCTGGGAATATTTCTGATGCTGGATTAATCTGTCCATTTAAGGCTGGCAGCCTCACCAGGAAAGCAAACTACCAGAAAATAACCAGGGAAAAGAGCATGCAGGTTAAACTATGTAGTTTCTTCTTCACTTCCACTTGTGTTTGGGAAGGAAAAGAGCCAAGTCCTGGATCACCGCTATGAGGGATCCAGTGCTCTTACAGGCCCTCTGTATGAACAGGTCCAGCCCTTAAACTGGCATTTTTCAAGCTTATTCTCAAGCAGCTTGAATACACTGTTATTTTGCCAAAATTAATAATGTGGATGTACTTGGAGTCACACTGTCATGGCTAGTGCAATACAGTAGAAGAGTCCTAACCCAATCACCCCAGCCGCCTTAAAGTTTTTCAGCATGTTGGATTGCTATTTCACATCAACTCAAATCAAGACATGACCATCTTGTAGCAGTGGACAACATTATATGAACCAGCTTAATTTGTGTTGCAGTATACAGCTATTTTTCTCTTTCCCTAATTGGCTAAACAGTAAGAGTGAGTGGGTTTCCTGTTGAAACTATGTCTGTTTCCCTACCACCACCTCAGCTTGTCTCAGAAGACATAAATATTGGATGATTCCCTCTGCAGACTTGGTTCCTCTGATCTACAGTCAGCAACTCCTGCATTTCCCCCAAGTGATGGGCAGGGACAATGACCGGGAAGAAAGTAATACACACTTTCCTTCTGGTTTCTGGATAGCATTTCTTCCATGAACACTGTCCAATTACTTTAAAAAAAAAAAATAACTCGGACTTGCAGGCTTTGGACTCTGTGAGGGAGTGAAAAAAGTCTCCTTGATTAATACCGATCTTGCTGGTTCAAAATGCTAGTGACTGCTATAAACAAGACTGTCGTTTATGGTTCACGTTTCTAAACAATCCTGGAGAAATCCTAAGTGATGGTTCCCGTGCAGATGTTAGAGAGGTGTCACCTCAGGAAGTGATAAAGAAGAAGAGGACATGATTATCTGAGCATCAGATCCTCAGACAGCCCTGACCCTGAAGACGGGTGAGAGAAGAAAGGGTTTCCCTTCCCCAGCCCAGACTGATGTGAATGTGAGCATTCAGCAACAGCTACAGAAACTGCCACACAGTGTAGAGACAGAAATCACCTGTAACACACCCAAACCACAGTATTAACCACATGCTGTGAGGGAGACCAACACAAAAGTAAAGAAGTGGGAAGCACTGCCAGTTTGTCCTTCTAGCCCACTATAAAGTTGCAGTTTTACAAACAAAAAATTCCATTTGTGCAGATTAATGTGAAGTAAATGACTCCAACTACACAGTTTTAAAAACTCTCATGTGCTGACCTCTAGGAGAGAGTATGGTACGCACACAAGAAGGCTCAGTGACCGAGCAGGGAAGTTCTTCTACATGAACTTCCTCTTAGGCAGTAAAAGAAGCACATAAAACTACCATGTAGTTTTCATTTTCATATGAAAGTGCTTCTTGTCTTTTAGCCAGGAAGGCACTTGTTTGATAAAGCACTTTAGCAGTCTTAGGTGTCTTCATTCCTCTGAGACATTTCTATAAGGAAAAGAAAGATCCCATGATGCAAAACTTCTCATGATGATGCCCTAAGCTTCTGCTTCAAAGCAATGACATTTCCGGTACTTCCTAATTTTTCAAGGTCAAAGCCCAGTACCAAATGCAAGACTTCTAAGTTAAGCAGCCACAGTGACCTTATCTGAACTACCTAACTCAAGAAGAAGTGGAAAATACCTAAAGGCCAAACAGCATGGGGGAAAACACATTAAAAAGGATTATCAAAAGCGATCCTCAAGGACACAAGACCAAGGAGAATATGACTTCATTATGTTTAAGAAACCAGAGGTTTAGGCATAAACTATTAAGACTGCAAAAGCCAATTTTTGAGGGCAGCAATTTAGAAAGGAAATGCAATATATCAATGCAAAAACCACAAATGGAGATCACAGCTGCTTCTGTAACTGAATGAACAAACCTCCTGCAAGGAACTGGGGAAAGAAAAGCAGAAAAGAAAAGAAAGTGGTCCTAAAAGCCCCTCATGCTTCTCCATGAATGGAGAAAAGTTGTCAGAGGGGCAGCTCCACACTTGCAGCCACATCAGCTCACCTGTGGATGTTGGGAATACTCGCCATATTCATAATGCCATAATTCAGCATCACCAGGACAAAAAGATGAATGGAATACCTTAAAAACAACAAAGTGGGTATTTAGATAATTTCTATGTGACCTGCAAAGGCTGGCAGTTCAGAGCGAGGGAATATTTTTCCATGCAAATGACATAAATGTGATGTCATATCAGGGTATCAGTAAACATGGATTATCACAATGACACCTTTATAGCCTGAATATCCAACATAGATTAATACTTATTGACACGATATTGTCAACATGTTTCATCATGGAGAGAAAGAGCAACCTGGCTCAAAGTGAATATTCAAACTGGATGCATCTTTTTGAAAAGAGGTATCTTTACAGTAGACTGGTGTGGCTTTAACTTCCAGAACAAACATCACAGATTAAATACTTCACTCACAAATACTTTCATGGCTGATTTTACTGTGAGGGTTTGGGATGGTTATGCTGGTTATGATTTTTTTTTCTTTATAACATAGGAAGTCCCTTAAGACTAAAAAGATGTAATCCAGAAAAGCTGATATGAAGTTAAGAAATATTTTTACCCAAGCCTTATCTAAATGGTGACTAAATACTCACCACCCAAAGCAGAAGACAGCAAAGTATATTCCAAAGAGAGTGGCAAATGCATGGCGAACAGCAGAGCTGGCATGACTGGGACCCAAGTAAATACGAAACCAAAACGCAGCCAAAAGTGCAAACAGTTGACAGGCTACAAAATTGATCTGTAAAAGACAAAACAAAAAATGGCTGTGATTCTTGAAGGAGGAGGGAGGAGGAGTCTCTCCATTCTCAGAGCAATAAAGAGTGGAGCCAGGAAAAGGAGGTGAAAAGAAGTGAGAGCAATTAATCTTTTGTTTCTTAGCATTCTCACTTGTGAGTCCAAGCAGTAACTTTCCTTGGCCAAGGGCAGAAGGGATTAAACAAGCATGTAGCCACCCAAAAACCCAGACAAGAGGAAGAGCAGGCCCCAGCGACGCGAGGTACAGGTGGGCTCTGGGTGGTTCTTACTCCCCCCGGAGAAGAGCTCTGCTCTGCTGCAGCAATGTTGGCACGCCAGCCCAACCCAGGCACAAGGGACATCACCCCCATCTCTGTCCTCTTGGTGGGAGGCAGAGGCCAGCAAGCAGACTGGGACTCTGAGGCACTGCCCTGGTGCCTGACTTTCTCCACAAACCCCAAAACAAGGGCAAAATCAACAATCCTGATGTGATGCTGTTTCACAAGCAGTAACTGGACAGTCTTCTTAGTGGAAATGCTTCACTCCACAGCATTCTCCAAGCAGGCCTTTCAACTTACCATTCTTTTGCAGTTCAAGAGTGCAAAAGAAAACAACTTTGCTCTACCATCAAGCAGACAGCTGAAGAAAAATGCCTCTAATTGTTCTTTGGCTACTGCATGCCTCTATAGAGTGTGGAAAGTGGTCTGGCCCCACTGTAAGGAGGTAGCAATGGCAGTGGGAGTAGAAGACAGGTACATGTGGAGGGCAAGCAGTCCATGACTAGAGACTACACTTATCAGACACAAGGATAAGCAAAAGTGTCAGTGTCCTCAGAGCAAAACCAACAACAAGCTGACTTCTTCAAGCCACCTTCTCTTTGATGGCCTCAGCAAAAACCTCAGAAGTCAGAGGAACAACAGAGCTCAGGAGCTGTCTCTAACAGAACATTAGGATACAACATCCCTAAATCCAGCCTGGACCCTAGACAGCTGGAGTTAAATTAGCTTATTCAGCTGCAGTCATTTAAAAAAAAAAAAAAACAAACCCAAACAAAAAAACCTAATCAAAGTCACCCTGAGTTCTCTAGCAGCAAGTCATCCCACGCTGAGTAAAACTAAATAGGCTGTAACATTTAAGCAATCACTCAGATTAGAGGATTATCCAAAACTATCAGTCCAGGTCAGGATGATATATCTCACTTGGAAATGCTCTGACATGCTGGCTGTTCAGAAGTGGTTGGATTCCGCCAGGCTTCTTGTCAAAAACATTTACAATGTGTTTAACAAGACACTACAGCCTCAAACTGCTTTTATACTGGTGGATTCTATCCAGCATGGTGCTGTTCAAGCAAATGCTTTTATTAAAAATTTGTTTGCTGCATTGCTGCAGTTCCTCTATTTCAGTGATGCAGACAGCCATGCACTAGAATAATGCAATAATTTGAATACTTAAGATATGCTGAATTTTAGTTCTTTGGAGCAGAGACAATATCAATATATTTCTTGTTCATGTAAGCAACCAGCATTTATAATAGACGGTATCATAGAACTATACCCAATAGCAAGTAATTAGCAATATCTTATCATGACAATACTGTACACTTTATTTAAATAAGACAATTCTTATTTTCTGTGCAAGGTTTAAAAAGTAAGAGAAAAAAATTGCACTGGTCTCACAAAACCCAGATGATGTAGTACAAACCCCAAACTCTCATCTGGTCTATTACCATGCATGCAGTTACACTCAAAACACTAACTCCTCCCTCCCCTCCTTCCCCAGCCAGAGGTATCGAAGAAATGGCTGAAGAGACGACATTCCCTACAGGGCTGCCCTCATTGCATCCTTTCTAAACCAGTTCCTAAAACTGATGGTTGGCAATTCATCAATGACAACTGAGTGAACCTTAATCCTACCTCAGCCTGCTCCCGCTTAGGGTCATACTAGTGCATCCAGTGCAGCTCAGCTTTGTGGCATGCAGAATCCCTCTGTTTCAGTATAATGAAGGAAAGTGCAAATACTCCAAGAAACCTGATGTGGCTGATTGTTCAAAAGACAATACCCCCTTCTGTAGAGCATCCCTCAGAGAAGCTTTACACCAGTAAAAACCATCACGATAAGCGTTTGGTTTTTACTTTCATCCAGTTCAGTTTGAGATGTTAAAGATGCTGAGACCTGACTAAAATGAAAGCAAAATGAAAGTGCGATATCCCATGGCAGACATACCTGTAGTAGCATTTACATAGCTAAGGCAGGTAACCACAGCAGCAGTAGAAAGCAAGCAGGAGAGACTTCATCACAAGTGAATGTACAATATACAACAGCACAGCAGCCTTGAAAATATACGCTGTTCTTTTCTACACTATCAATTTGTCCAAGCATGTGTTACCTGTGCTACCTGGATTAAAGTTAGCATGGGCAGACCAACCATGCACTATCAAATCTTCATTTTGTTGTGCATATTAACCAATACAATTTCTTCTCTGTGCTGTTTTGCAAGAGTTGGAGTAAAGCCTTGTACAGGATAAAAGCAAAAGTACATGCTAGCCTTATATTTCAATCAGCTTTCAATTTCTAAGGGTTGTTTCTGCAGAGCAGCCAAACAACACAGACCCAGTGTACTCAGCAAGCACTAATTCCAGAATACTAGTTTAGCCTTTTTGTACTGAATTAAGCTAGGAAGTACCTTACAGAGGAATGGCTACAAGATACCATTAAAAGTGACAAATACAATTCAAAAACCTAAAGATTAACCTTAATTTTCAGGATCCGTAAATGACAATGATGGTGTCAGAGGGGCACAAACACACATCAGGATTCCTGAGTGTCATATGAACATTATGTGACCTACCTGAATAGCATAAAGGAAGTGAGAAGGCTGCATCCAATGCACTGCCTGGGAGATCAACTCCCAGATACAAAAAAAATGCAGTCTGAAATGCAGAAAGAGAAGACTTTCACTCACTGGCTGAGAATATTCAAATGCCCTCTCTTCCTAACTGCAGCCACCATAACTTCAGCAATTTTCCAGGTTCTTCTCCATGGCCATGTTTTTCTGACAGACAGCACTGCCCCCTAAACAACACGCTGCATTTGTTTTTCTTTATAACATAGGAAGTCCCTTAAGACTAAAAAGATGTAATCCAGAAAAGCTGATATGAAGTTAAGAAATATTTTTACCCAAGCCTTATCTAAATGGTGACTAAATACTCACCACCCAAAGCAGAAGACAGCAAAGTATATTCCAAAGAGAGTGGCAAATGCATGGCGAACAGCAGAGCTGGCATGACTGGGACCCAAGTAAATACGAAACCAAAACGCAGCCAAAAGTGCAAACAGTTGACAGGCTACAAAATTGATCTGTAAAAGACAAAACAAAAAATGGCTGTGATTCTTGAAGGAGGAGGGAGGAGGAGTCTCTCCATTCTCAGAGCAATAAAGAGTGGAGCCAGGAAAAGGAGGTGAAAAGAAGTGAGAGCAATTAATCTTTTGTTTCTTAGCATTCTCACTTGTGAGTCCAAGCAGTAACTTTCCTTGG